ATGGATGTATAAACTATGCTATAATCAAGCTGTTAGAACAGCGAAAAAATCGTTCTTGAACTTATCTTCATAATATTGTAAAAAGTTAACTAAACAGTATCATACATTTAACCGAAGCAGACCTGATAATAGACCATTTTACGGTTGTCTGCTTGGCCACTGACCTTTGAATGGCAGCGAGGCTGGAGGTGACCTTGCTTTGATAGAGACCTCTCTATTTTTGTCATGTAAATACACTTAGTTAGCATTAGAACAACTTTATTTACACAACAAAAACAGTGAGGTCTTTATCAAAACAAGGTCAACTCCAGCCTCGCTGCCATTCAAAGGCCAGGTCACTAAGCAGACAACTGTAAAATGGTCTATTCTGTGGTTTTGCAAGTTGATGATATTCAGCAATGTAATTATNATGTATGGCGGTGTATCGAAAACTGATAACAGACTATCTCTTGTGTTTGATATGTGACATAAATCAAGACGCAACATTAGTAAATGCTGGTGATGTTGTAACCCAGAGTTGCAAACAAATCGTCAACCAATCAGAGTGCGTCTTTTATAACCATGGATGTATAAACTATGCTATAATCAAGCTGTTAGAACAGCGAAAAAATCGTTCTTGAACTTATCTTCACAATATTTTAAAAAGTTAACTAAGCAGTATCATACATTTAACCGAAGCAGACCTGATAATAGACCATTTTACAGTTGTCTGCTTGGCCACTGGCCTTTGAATGGCAGCGAGGCTGGAGGTGACCTTGCTTTGATAGAGACCTCTCTACTTTTGTCATGTACATGCACCTAGTTAGCATTAGAACAATTTTATTTACACAACAAAAACAGTGTGGTCTTTATCAAAACAAGGTCAACTCCAGCCTCGCTGCCATTCAAAGGCCCGGTCACTAAGCAGACAACTGTAAAATGGTCTTTTCGAAAGCCTAAACTATAAGGCACCCCCATTTGGTCCCAACGTAAAAATCACGGTATATTCACTGAGATACAACAAACCTAAATTTGTTTTGTTCTTTAAGAGAAACGTTTGGCGACGACTTAAATAACGGCTATAAAAATTTAAAGACCATAAGTTCATGTACACCTTACACCCGGGTTGATCAGGCAACTTAATGGCCACTTCATAATAAACAAGTTATATTTTTGTAAGGTGGACTATAAAAAAACGTTCAGACTGCGTTTAAGAATACTCCTGCTCCTACATTCAAGAACTCTTCAAATCATAATTCTAAAGGTGTAAAAGATAAGTGACTATAAAAAACAAAGAAAAGTGAGTAGATACGACATGAAGCAATAGAGTATGACCTATGTCATGCTCTCTTCCATGAAGTCACTAATATATCACGCACCAATCATAGAGAAGGTTATACAAACACAATAGTCAAGAGTGTGTTCGCCCCTTTGTACAATGTTCCTCGATGAGATTATTCTGGTTTGTATTTAAGGCTCAATTTCTTAACTCTAATTTTAAATGATCCATGCTACTGTTTATTTTCGATGAGCAAGAAGAAATCAGTCCACAAAATCCAATCATATTGAAAGGGGTCTGTAAATTAGGCTGTTTCGTCAACAAAGAAGGCACTTGCCTATCTAGATATCTTCAACTCGAGACATTTCACTCAAAGAACCTGCTATCTTATTCATTAAAGTATCAAATTTGTCAAATTCGTCAACTTCCCCATCTTTCAAAACTAAAATCATGTCACAGTCTTTGATGGTGCTTAAACGATGAGCTATAGTGATAACTGTGGAGTCTTTTAGTTTCTCACGCACTACGTTCCAGATTGTTTGTTCCGTTTCTGGATCGACGTGTGCAGTAGGCTCGTCCAAGATGACGATCTTGTTTTGCTGTAACAGCACACGAGCCAAACAAATTAACTGCCGCTCTCCTACACTGACATTTGCTCCATTTTCTAACAGCTCGTGATCTAGCTTTCCGTTTAGACTTTCCACAAACTCTTTCAGTTGCACATCCTCTAAGACTTGCCACACATCTACGTCTTGTAACTGCTCCAAGAGATCAAGATTTTTTCGCAGCGATCCACTAAACAGAACGGGGCTTTGGCCGAGAACAGATATACATCGTCGAGCCTCTTGGAGATTGATCTGTTTGATAGGAATATCATCGACCAATATGTCTCCAGCAGCATCTGGCATGCGCAGCAAAGCTGCCATAAAAGATGACTTCCCTGCACCTGTGCGGCCTGCAACACCAATCTTTGTTCCTCCTTTGATATTAAGATTGATTTTCTTCAGTACTTGAGGTCCACCCGGATAGTACGTCAATGACACATCTTGATATGTGATATTTCCTTTGTGTGGCCACTGTTCCGGGGGAAGTCTATGGACTTTGTATCCAGGCTCAGATTCAAGTTTGGTGTACGTCATCACTCGTTCAACTGAGGTCATGAAATTCTCGACATCTGAGGTTTTTCTGACAGCGTATTGAGTAAACGTCGAGGCATTGATGACATAAACAAGCGCAAGTCCGGCCCAAGCTGATTAAAATAAAAGGAAAAAAAGAAATGAGATATTTCAGCGAGGAGTTGTATGACGCGGCTAGTTTGCTGTATTGGGGCATTGAATGCCCTACTGCATGATACATTTTCCGCTAAATAGACTATTTTGCGAAAATATCATTCGATTTGTTCTCCCTCTTTCTTTTCTATGTCACCTGTAAGAAAGGCCCGGTTTAAACGTCGCATTTTACATGTGCCGAATCTTATTTCGTTTAGTTAAACGTGGGGCTCATTCCCAGTCCCCATTTTAAATTTCACGTCTATGTTGCCAATATGACTTTGAACCAATGACATGACCATCGCTTTTCCGGTCTTTTATAAAAGCAACCTTCGCACCAAGCCACACTTCGTCCTGATTTCCTAAACGGCGTATCTTCATCTTCTTTAAAGATTTAAGAACATTTTATACAAAATTAAACTACATTCCAAACATTTATACACATTGGCTGAAAGCACACGTCGCAGATAAATGCACCTACCGGCATCTTGTGACACCAAAACAGCCCCTAAAGACACTGCACCAATTAAAATGGATACGAGAAAGTTCATGCGTACACCAAGCCATCGCCCACTGGCCATCACCATAATATACGCCTGATTGTGAACATCTTGGTATCTAACGGAATAAAACCGCACTAAGTAAATGAACTAGTGTACCAACTTCTAGAACTCATTAATAATTCATCAATTTTAAGCAAAGGAAATCATGACCGTGACGGTGTTTGCATATCTGATCTTAATTAGCATAGAAATTACGATTTTATTTCTCCATTTTCTCCTTAGTTCTAGTTTCGGTTGAGAAGATATACACTCAACTAGTCAAGGCATTGTTTGATCACATTTCCAAACAACTCGAAGTTCTTTAAAAATACTCCGCTACGCGTCGTATTTTCAACTCTCTTTCTAGTGTTTGGATATGTGGTATCGTGTTTGATATGTTACTTGAAAACGTTTCTGTTAAATCAGATCGGGCAAAAAGCTTTAAAGCGATACTCATCAAAGTTTTGGTACATCCTCTAAGCAATACTCTATGTAAATGCGCATGTAACTATTTTAAATGTGCTTGCAACATGTCCTATCCTGAAATTGAAATGTAGACAAGGTGATCAGGTTTTGATCAGGTATGATGGACTGAGGAAGGTGTCTTACCGGCAGACTTGGAGAAATTGCACACTTTGTAGTTAGATTGCTGATAATGAAGCTGCAACCACCGAGGAAAATGTTACACCAACAAAAAAAGCTGTTCCCTCACCCCACCCACCTACGATGTTGAAAATCAGTCATTTTTTTCCCTTTTAGTTGTGATAAACGTCACATGTTCCAACATTGATTTAGGGAGATGAAGGATACGTGATTCAGCTTTACTGCCGTCTGGGATTGGGATTCTATTTTTGCTTAGTAGCGCACTATTCCATTCTTAATACTGCGACACTTATTTAAGAGATAAAGATTGTCAAGACTAAAGCAATGCACCTGTAAAACTGATCCACGAAATCCCTTTGTCTGCCTCTTGTTCGAATCGTGTCCAGTCCATTCAGGGTCTCGGAAAAGTGAGAGAAAACTGGACTGCGGCATATTGACTCTAACCTTTTCAGCTCTCTTGACGTCTTCAAGTAATACTTGGATATACACACGAGTAACACAATCAGCGGAACAACAAGAAACAGAAGCCAAGGATTTGTCACAGTTGGTACAATTATTGATGCAAACACCAACAAGACACACTGGATAGATACTAGAAAAGTCTTGGGTAACAACTCGTCAACGCAGCCCATATCTTTAGAAAATCGATTCAGTATTCTTCCCACGGGATTTGAATCGAAGAATAGAACTGGTGCTTGTAAAATAGCTACAACCATTTTGTCATGAAGGCGCTCAGAACATCTGAGCGAAACCAGAAGGAATCCATAAGATCGAATGACGGCAAAGATAAGAGACGCACCGACGAGACAAGCATAGATAGTGAGGTTTGTGTTGTCTTTCTGCTCATCTGGAAGTTTCTTTGTAAGTATTGAGAGCCAGACGTCAGGAGCAACTATCATTGCTGAGAAAAGAAAGAGGCGAAAAAAATAGTATGATCGGAAAGTAGCCATTGATCAGCAAATATAATGTTATGAGAAATACAAAATAAAATTGCGTACAGTTATAAGTCATGTATGACCAATTACAGAACAAACTTACCTTGCGCTATGATGAACAAGCAAATTACTGCACAGATTGTTGACCAATGTACTCCGCTTCTGAAGTAGTTCCAGTAAAGCTTTGATGAAATCACTCCGATGGAACGATCTTCTTGTGATATTTCCAGACCCCTATCGTCGTTGGTCTTTGGGACCACTGTTTCATGGCCATCAACACCACCTTTTTTCTGTTCAATCTCCCGAGAAAAGCTTTTAGTAAGTTTGCTATCTTTCCCAACTGCCTGATAGAGCGGGTCAACAGTTGTGTTTAGAACACCTTTTTCTTGTAGTTCAGTGAAACTTCCCTTTTCCAACACGCGGCCTTTGTACAACATAATCACTTGATCAGCTTCTTTCATGTAATGTTCTTGATGTGATGTTAACACTCGCGTTTTACCGCCCAGTAGGTCGTTGATACATGCTTTAAAGATATGTTGGCCAACTTTTAAGTCCACAGCACTTAGAGGATCGTCTAACAAGTAAAGGTCTGCATCAGCATAACCTGCGCGTGCTAAACTAATTCTCGCCTTCTGACCTCCACTAAGAACTTCACCGCGTTCTCCAACAACTGTTTGGTCATAGTCAGGAAACCGCTGAATGTCTTCTGTGAGGGCGCATGCTTCGATTACTCTGTTGTACTTTGGTGCATCGTATGGTTGACCAAACAAAATGTTTTCTCTTATGGTTCCTGAGAAGATCCAAGCTGTCTGAGGAACATAAACTAAAGTTCCTAGGAAAGTTATTGTCCCGCTAACGTCAGAGATCTCTCCAGCGATGGCTGAGAGAAGAGTAGATTTTCCACTACCCACTGGTCCGGTGATGACTGTTAGACTTTGCGACGCTGTGGAAAATTCAATATCCTGCAAAATGAATTCATCTTCTCGTTCGATTTGTTTGTGCGTTAGTCTTGACACGCATAAAGCACTGTGTTTGTCCTGCACTTTTACTTGGTGAGAATTGAATAGTGCTTCCATTTTCTTCTCCGGATCTGGGAGACCGTTCGAAGCTTTGGTTAAATTGTTTTCTGTGTTACTGGTGTCATCTCTACTTCGACCACGTGAGATGGCGGGGATATTTTCTAAAACAAGGAAATTTTCTATTCGTCCCAGCGATGCATAAGCGTCGTATGTTTGTAGTAGAGCAGTGGAAATGTACTGGCATGCTGCTACTTTTGCGATATCCATTAAACCAATCAGCATAAAGACATTAACAGGTGTGATGGGTTGACCAGTTAGCACAAGAGTAATTACAGACAACAGGGTCGCTGCTGATACTGAACTGTCCCACAAGGCAAGAAAACCTGACAGAATGGCACTTTTTTTACGGATGACGTTTGTTTCATTTCTGAAAACAAACCAAAAAAAAGCTATAAGGACATATCACTTAACAACACTAAAAGTGGCAGGTGTTATTAATTAGCCCAGGAGCGTTCTAGTTAAAAGTTACATGTGCGAATGGTAAACGAGGCGTTGTAGTAAGGGTGGACAGTACAACCGTTTTGATAGACATTACGAAGAGTAACAGTCCCAATATTTTTGAGTCAAAAACTAAAAACACTAATCTCTCTAAAGACAACACGCGTGACCGCGTTCTTTAAGCGAAAAAATAAACGATGATGTAAACTGGCCAAACTCGAGGGTTGTCAATAGAAGACAATGAATTTGTGACTGAACTTACAATTACAGTGAATGAAATTACTTGCAGATGGGTTCAGTGAGTCGAGGATGTGGATGGGTCTGGGGTGCTGTAATCTCAGTTATAGGTTAAATTTTACAATTTCGGTCCATCCTCTCCCTATCGCTAGTTTATGTAGATCTCTAATATAATCTCGGCTATCAGTTAAAACGTATCATTTCTTAGCTGGCTGACCCTATTCTCAGCTATCAATTAAACCCCACCCAGACGCTCTGAGTCAATGTTAATCACCACATTTGTTTTCCACCTACCTTCGCGTGTGCTTGACTTTTTTTCGATATTCGTCCTCCCACGCGCGCGTTTTGATGGCACGAATCCCAGAAACCACCTGGTTCATCAAGGAGATGCGTCGGTCGGTCACCGCTGCTGTGCGCAAGCGCAGTGCAGCACTAATATTGGACAACCCAGCGAAATACGGCACAAGAAAACACAGGAAAAAGACTCCCATAAGACATTGCCAGCCAATCAAATACACGAGTAACACTGCTATCACCACCAGGACAAAGCACGAAGAAATCGAAAAAATTAGAAACAGGACTGTGTCTTCCTCTATACGCTGAACATCGTTTGATATAAGGTCGATCACGTGGCCTGTTGTAAACTTTAACAATGCACCTTTGCTGAGATGTAGCGTCTGCAAAACAAGAAATGCTAAGTCTTAGGTAAATCACGAAACAAGGATTAAATTGGCACAATCGCTGTCGCATGTTGCGAAGAGAAGCAGCACAAATAAAGAAAATACGTTTTCATCTTTCGCCGCATCAAATTTGTGAAGTTAAGATGTGTTCTTTTGGGAAAAATAGTTTTAATGTGAGCCAAGTTGGGTTTGTGTTCCTGAGTCGTTAGATCCCTTTGATTCGCTATCTTGATGTCTACGCTTGCGACGGTCATCGTTGTTCCTTTTAAAACTTAAGTCACCTGACCTATTTTTCACGCCTCATGTAGTCAAGGCGATTTCGCAATTACGGGCGATAATGAATTCTCAGAGTGTTGTGAAAAATTAGTAGCGTGAATTCTTCGCATAATTTTTCGTCTCAACGTCGCTCTATTCGAAGTTTCAGTTCATTCTGGTTTCTTCCCACGAATTTACGTTCAAGAGTGACGTACATTATTTCGTGTCCAAGGATAATGCCGCCGATTCGTCGTGGTAGAAGGTCTCCCGTTCAGAACATGGATGCGGTTGCGGACGCTGCAGAACTAACCGACGATTCGGTTTAACAGCCGAGAAACTTATCTAGACAAAGAAATATCGCTTCCACAGGCAAAAGGACCACTCTCTGACCACAGTTTGGTAGCACAAGATTAATTCTGTTAGTTATTCTCTGATGACTGAATTCGCCGGTGTATTTGTGGGGATGAAGTGCTCCATATAGGTCGCCCTTTGCCCCATAGACTCCCATGGCCAGCTATCGTGGCAGAATAGGTCCTCCGGATGGCCTTGTTACCAAGGAACCATACCTCTATTGTTTGTTGTTTGTTGTTTGTTGCTTGAGAATTAGGACCACAGGGAGAGGATTTGGACCTCTCAGTAGCCTGGGGACTACAGGGTCTCCTGGAAAGGAGGGAGAACACTGTGACCTCTCAGGGCATGGGGATTAGGACCTCTCTGCAGCACGGTTGTTGTTGCTTATTAGAAAACAGCCTTAAGGAAATACGCGCGCTGATTGGTTAAATATCGTGTTTCTGTAACTCGATAGAAACACGGAACTGGCACGAGCTGTCGACGTAATAATGGTGCGAGCAAAGAGAATTTACATTTTGATGATCAAAGTAAACAAGTTGATTCCCTTTATTTCGTCGCGTTGTTTTCAAAAAGGAATAGAAAACATGTTCTTCGTATTTCTATCGAGTTTTAGTATAAATCTACTAGCGTTCTATCTCGAATGGCGTTCTCTGATTGGCTGCGCTACTCACTATCTATTCTGGGATCTATAGTGAGTAGCGTAGCAGTGTGCCCTTGCTAACAAAATGAAGGCCGCTTCTTGGCGTTTTTGAAGTGTCTGTGAAGAGGATTTAGATTAAGTTTTGAACGACTAGTAGATTTACTAAAACAATCAGATTATTCGCTCTCGATTTCTATCGCGCGATAGTTGACTCGGGCTGCGCCCTCGTCGGCTATCACGCGATAGATATCTCAAGCTCATAAGCTAATTGTTTAATAGAAACACTCGTGAAAGTTTGGGAGAACTGGAAAAAGCTGTGGAGACACTCGCCTGTGGCTCGTGTTCCCACAGCATTTCTCGTTCTCCCAAACTTCCACTCGTGTTTCATAACTCGATAGAAACACGGTACATGTTTTCTATTTCTTAAATAATGTACTTATTGCTTCGGTCCTCTCGTTGCCAACCACCTGACCCGTTTCATCCCGTAAGATTCCTATTGACAACTCGAGCACTTCATCCCCTGCCCCTTTTCTTCCATCAAAAGTTGTTGTTGTCTTGTTTGATTTCATTTCATTTCGTTAATTAGTTAATTAAACGTCCTCGCTTCTGCATGCATTGCGTGCCGTTTATTTTTAGCATGAGAGTAGCCAGTGTACAGGCTAGCATGAGAGCATAGTCTAAACGTTGAAGCAATTCGCGAATTACCCGGAACTTATTTTCACTGACTGGTTTTCGATTCTTCTGATATCAGTATTATGTCATTCCATGAAATAAAGCAACAAACAACAGTTTTAGGCTTAAGTTGTCTTACTACCGAGCCGCGTAAACGACTGGTAATTCGAAACTCTGTGACAATCTGTTTTAGGAAACCCTTTTGATAAAGGGTTGTAACTATTGAAGTCCAAAAAAACTTAATGGAACTATTACAAAAAAAATTTAGGGATCACAATGAGCAAACTTTCCGAGAGTAAGCAAACAGGCATAGATTGCAAAAATTTAGTTTCAATAATGGCCGAATCGGCCCAGATTGAAGCAGATCGAATTATGTTCGTAAAATCAACGGAAGTAAAAATGTATCCTACAATCCTGGCCATAAAGTTGTTGGGACACCTTCCCTTTTGCGCGCAAAAACCCACGATTTCAACTACGTCCTTGACGTTTTAGGAAAAGATGAATAGAAGCAAGTATAACAGACCTCCCTCCCCCCGAGCAATGTTGAAAGAAAATAAAGCTATTCTGAAGAGTAGATCGGATGGTGTTAAAAAGGAAAAAGGGACAACAGAAAGTGGTTAGACAGCTGTGTTGGAAGCGAACGTGATTGTTCAAAAATCCTTATTATTGGACGTGAATATCTATGTTATCGTCACTTTAGTTGGAGAAGATTGTTCTAGGAGGCAAACAATCCTTGAAACGTGGCTATTCTGAAGGTATTATCAAGGTCTGTTTTTTTGTTTTCAAGATTGTTAGCAACATTGACAGGCAGGAGGGGGGTAGGCGGGCCTACGCGGTCTTGGTCTTAATAGAGGCTGCCTGGGAAGTCATCTGCCATAAACTGCCCCAATACTTGTGACCAGGATTGTAGCTACTTGATCTAGCGTTAGACTGCGTTACGTTTGCATTGCACTTGTTTGGATTGGCAGTGGATTTCTTCGTACTAAACAAGTGACAACGGAGCCTTTGATCTAGACTATTCGTACTTACCTTATGGTAAACTAGACCTTTCAAGGCGCAGCTAATTTGGATACCCAACAGCTCACATCTGTAGGCACTATGGTGCATACCAAGAGCTCCGATGAAGGAATTTATACACAAAGCAAGTATACAACCGTACAGAAGATTATTTTTCTTTGGCTCTGCTGACATCAGTATGGAAATAAGATATCCCAATAACAATGGTTGAAGAAGGAGAGAAATTGAATACAAAGCATTAGTAAATCCAATAATCATGGCATCCTTTACCGAGATCAGCTTTATGACGCTTTTCCAAAGTTTAGGCCTGGTTTGATTTGCTCTTTCTTTGTTCCAGTTTGCTTGAAGCTGATCGGTCAGAAAAGAGGCGGAATTCTCTTTTGAAAGCGGTAAAAAATCATTCTCATCCAATGGTCGTTTACTGCCTATCTTGAAGATACTATTCATCCATTGAAAGAATAGAAGAGACACGAAGCTGACTATTTCTTTATCTTCTTTCGTGGAGATCCTCTTGTATCCATTCCTTGCCATAACACTGAAAACTGATAAAGATAAACATATAGAGATCAAATTGAAGGTTAACAGCAAACTTTGTCTTTTGGAAGTTCGCTGACTCACAGTTCTCAAATTAATGCAAATGCTGCAATTTTATGGAATAGTTGACTGTACTATCAGCCCTCGTGAAAGTGGAATAAGCTCGTAAACCCAAAATGCTTAGGGAACGAAATTTCTAAGGCGTAAACAAGAAATTAGTCCTTTTCAAACTAAACTACAGTCGGCTCACGATAACTCGAATATTCAAGGGAAATTGAAAAAGATTCGAGTTACCAGGAGTTGAGTGCAAATGACCAGAAATAAGGAAAACATCGGTGTTTAGAGGTGGACTATTTGATTTTTGAGGGGGGTTTGATTTTCAAAAAACGCCTTCAAGCATACTTGTACCAAAAAAAATTATGCACACGACCACGGTGGAAAAAAACTTTTCACGCACGACCAGGCATTTGATACGGAGAAACAAATATGCATACATCTGTCTCGAGAAACAAAATCCTAGCCCATGAAAGGGTTAAAATAAAGTTCATGCTTGTACCAAATCAGCCTTACATTTTCGAGAAATAGTTTCAATGTTTTGGACAACAGCACTGTTTGTTTTGAGTTGTCACGTATTGACAAATAGGGTTCGAGGTATCTAGGGTAAAATTATATAGAAAATGACCTGAAAGGAAACTAAAATGGCTCCGAGTAAGCGGGAGGTTCCAGTTATTAAGGGTTCGAGTTACCGAGGGTGAAATTACAGCAGATGTATGTCAGAAATCCAGGGAAAATCGATTTTGGTTAAAGTTAGCCCGAGGTTCGAGTTGGCAGGAGGTTAGAATTTGCGAGGGTTCGAGTTATCAGGAGTCAACTGTTTTTGCTGGGATGGTTTTAACTGTTCCACACTCCTTGCAAAAGCTATCAATAGTTTTATTTCTCAGAAGGGTTTTCAAAACTTCCTAGTCAACCAGCAACAAAACTCTTCTTGACTAGTTATTTAAAACCTCAATAGGGTGTGGCATCAGGGCCACATTTAGATCTTTAGTTCGGGAATGGGGGTGGGATTGCAATCTAGGGCAAGTCTAGCCCTTCAGTAGGTGGGATATTTTAAATACAAGTAGTATAGCGCGTTATTATATCTCTCAGTTAATACGCGCGCTGTGATTGGTCAATTTAGCGGGCCGTTCTCTCCTGTACGGCCCGCGAAAATTTAAAGTTGGTTCTGTTGCCAAACTATTTTGTGATTTATCGCTAAGTGTTCTTGACTTTTATAACAAGTGAAAGTTTGAAACTTTCTTACACTCTAAATTATGTAATAAAGCGTGCTAACGACTTAAAAAACCGTTTCAAACTGACTCGCTTTGCTTTCAAAGTGCGTCAGAAATTTGAAGCCTTTCGGAGTCCGCGTGAATAGAAATCGTTTCCGAACCCGTTAGGCACACAGTAAAGATATAATAAATATCTTACTAACCACATCTTCTTGGTCCAAACCGTAAGTTACGGATTCTCGTTTTTCCCCCTACGATTTATGACCCGCGCGCTTCGCGCTTGGGCCATAAATCGAAGGGGAAACAACTCGTTTCGTAACTTACGGTACAGACCTCGAACTCGGTTAGTAAGACGGTATTTACCCTAGGGTGCAATAAGTATTTAAGATGGCGGCTTTGTCACCCTGGGACGAATTGAATATCAAGATGGCGGTTTTTTCATCCTGAGACAAATTCAAGAAGGCGGCTTTGTCACCCCGAAACGAATTGAATAGTCAAGATGGCGGCTAAGTGGCGTCATAGTCAAGATGGAAGAAGGCGGGCGCATGTTAGGATGGGGGAGGGAATACAAAACGTAACGTCATAAAGTGGTATGGGGATGTGTAAGGAAATGGATGGAGAAAAGCCGAAAACGAACAAGAAACCAGGTTTGGCTTAAAAACATGTAACGCGACAAGGCTGTTGCGCCGTAACACGGAACTGCTTGGATTTGGTTACTAACGACATACAAAATAAGCTTTGTATGTAGAGCACCAAAGAAGACAATGATCCTACATTTATCTGTGCCCCCTGTTTAGTCTACATGGATGAAAACTCTCAATTTTATACGATGTTACCTGAGACAAAATCAGAGGCTTCTCTGCAGACATTCATTGTAACAAACACTGCGTGAAAGCCAAAATATTCTAGAGTATTCTAGACTCGAAAATGTGATTGTGACGCAATAGAATCCTAGAGTATTCAAGACGCACACAACACGTGACGTACACCTGAAATATTCGTGTCGAATATGGTGGAATACGCTCAGTTCATAATCGTTCGAGGATTTTCGTTAAAGTATACCACACATCTGTCGTAATCCTAGAGTATGATGGCGAATCCTTTGTAAAAAGAACTTTATAAAAGAAGGTAACAGTTCGGGTGCATAGCATTC